TGTGACAATGAATGAGTAAATAATATAGTCTAAGTGTCTTTATTTAAAAACTCCTTGCTTTTATTCAAAATTTCTATATTTTTTGATATTTTACTATTCAAATTTTTTATGTGATAATTCCATGTCTGATAATCATTAATATAAATACCAAAAAAATTGTTACTTATTACTTTTTTACAATTATATTACCAATAAGAAGAGGTGGCATGTCACATAGAGTAGATTAGGGTAATATGAGCACCTTAAGCAAAAATTGGAATATTTTCAAAAATAAATATGCTGGATCCAAAATTTTTGCAAATAAACAATTTTTAGGGATCCCTATTTATAATCTATTTAGATATTTGGGCACTTTTTTCTTAAAAACACAGAGGTTTTCAAAAAGTAGCAAAAGTGCTCGTATTACCCTGACCCCTTGGTAATATGAGCACTTTAAATTAGCTCAAAAAAATAGCATTAATTAAGTAAAAAAGGACCAACCTGCTTAATAGAACTAATTGTTGGAATATAAGGGTTCGTGATTAACAAAGCATATCATTAAAAGATCAAATTTTAAGCTACATTTTGTTGAAACAATACTACTATGTTTTCCGCCAAAAAAAAAAAAAATTAATACATTGTTTTTTCAATTTTGTTAACTCAAACCTTTGAACAATAAAAATTAAAATTTTTTAGATTTAAGTTACAGAAAAATATTTAGTATTGTTAATATATTAAAATTTTTTACTATGTTTTATTTTTATTCAAAAAGCAATTAAAAACGACTGCTATTTTAGGACTTTAAATTAAGCAATTTCAATGAAAAAGCACTGGGTAATTTGAGCATGCTCATATTACACAAAAATGGTATCTTTAAATAAAGTCAAAAATAAATGTTTCTATGCATTATTTTTCAAACAAAAATGAATTGGATTTTTAGCTAATATATTTTTCTTTACGAAAAAATTAATTTCATTATTTTAGCACCAAAATATCCCGCCGCAGAATTATTCACACGTGATGATTTTTTTTAACAAAGCAAAAAATTTAAAAGCGTTTTAATTAGATGATATCCGCTAATTTCTGCGTATAAATTTACGCTAATTGTACTGATTCCTGTTATAACTACATAAAGTCGATTCGAAAAACATAAAGCAACTTTAACTTCACTGCTTACATCTAATAAATCTTTAAGTATGCTCATATTACCAAGGTGCTCATATTACCCTAATCTACCCTATATAATGTTTTTTGTGATTAGGATGGAAAAAAAATCCTTTTTGTTTTATTAACATTAAAATACTGTTTATTTGTCTTAAACCATTTAGAAACTTTTCCTAGTTCCTTCTTCATATTATAAAATAGTAATGTAATATTATTGTGAGATAAAAATAAGTTTGTGATGTAAATAAGAAAAAGGAGAGGATCTAATATTGATTCCTCAGCAATTCTATATGTTGTATTAAGTTTAATGATGATACAACATCAACTTATACAAATTGATAATTTAAAAGATATTTAAATTTTCAATTTTTCTTCGGGAACGGAAAGAAAAAAATAATCACGTGAGCATGCGTATTAACAGTTTTTATTTGTCCAAAAGAAAACTGCGCATGCTCACGTGATTATTTTTTCGATAGATCCACTTGAAAAGTAAAATTTATTGTAACTATTAATTAAATCGTTGTTGTTTTTTTAATGTGTTTTTTTTTAAATTATTAACCTTAAAAATCTTTGATTTTTTTAAAAAAAAAAAAAAAAAAAAAAGTTTATATGTGTGTTATATGTATGGATGTGTGTTTGTGTGTATATATATATATATATATATATATATATATATATATATATATATATATATATATATATATATATATATATATATATATATATATATATATATATATAATAATTGCTAGCCAGAAAGTTAATGCATTTATTCATTTATATATATAAAGGAGAGTGTTGTCGAAAAACATCTTCAATTACTTTAAGGAAATATTGTTAAAAATAAACTCATAAAGAAAAAGGTTCACAAGTTTTGTTATCCTCAAAAGATATTTCTATATTTCTTTTATTTCCTATTAAGTATTTTAACCTTCTTTTAAAACTTTCATTGAAAAACAATACGTAATTGTAAAGTTTATTATTTGTTTTTCAAGCCGTCATTTACTTTTTATATTATCAGTATTTATAAAATCTGTTTTGTAAACGCAATTTCAGGGGCAGTTTTTATGTTTCTCTATAATAACAAATATTTAAGTATTATCTCCGCTTTTTTGATATCTTTGATTTATTAATGTATTTTTTGTTTACGCTTTTTTGTTTTTCAAAACATTATTTAAAAATTTTTGTGGAAATTTAGAAATATTCTGAAGAAAGTTTTATGATAATTTGCTGTTATTAGGAACGAACAAGAATTAAATACTTAACTTAAAATCTATGACGTATGTTAATCTTTAGAATAATATGCATGATGTTTATACAATCATGAAAATCTAGTATATATATATATTTGTATCTATTTAGGTGCTCCCAGAAGTCCTTACGGTCATAGAGCACTGTGGGAGAGCATTTAACGGAAAGTTCACGCCTCCTTCCGTACCAATGTCGCTTGATGCGCTGGGGCTGGCGTCGAACCTAGGGCCTCTGGGTTCAGAGCCAGAACTCTAACCACTGCGCCACGGCTGCTCTATTAAAAATGTTAAAATATTAAATTTATAAAATAGTAAATATTAAAAATATATGTTGTATATGTTTGAGCGTTGAAAACTAATGATGAAAATATAAAAGAAAAAAGTAAACATGCGTTTCCGATTTCATTCCAAATAACTTTTCTTTCGGTCGAAATGCAATAAAAATTATTTCAATTAAAACTACAATTAATTGGTCGAGCACCGGTAAACTCAAAATTTTGTAATCTCGAACTATTTTCTATATTCCCTTGAAAGCAAGAACAATGGTTTTACTTTAAGTCGAACATTCGTTCAATCGAACCATTTTCCTTGGTCCCTGGAAGTTCAGGTTACCGGGATTTTACTGTATTCGTTAAAAACAAAACCAATAAAGTTAAATATAGTTAAAATAGATTAATATTTACATTATTTGGTTTCCTACAAACAATATTTGCATTTAATTTCAATTGTATGTGACGTATGCAATGTCAGACCTTATAATGTTTTGCATAACGAATTATATTTAAAACTTTATTCGTATTTTACTACTAAAAATCCTTGTTTTGTTTACTCTCAAAAAAAAAGGGAAAAAAAAAATTAAAAATTCAACTCTAAATTAATTGTTCTATATAATTAAATATTGAGAAGACCATTAGATCTTGTCATTATTGAGGTCTTATTAGATATAAATGAAAACTTTTTTATCTAACAACCGTTAAACGCTTGTAGGTAAATATATAAATACCTATTTACGCTTAAAATATAATATGCTTTTTTAGTTGAATTTTAAAGAAAGGACAATTTAGCATACCATGAATTTTATAACTATTGAAGTCAAAACAAGTTTTTTCATGTTTATCGAAAATGAAACTGCAATATTCACGTTGGCCACCAAACTCGTTCCTTTCTGTTGAATGTCGTCCATTTTTGATTACTATATAAACTTTAACGGTTAGATATAATAAATAAATCATGTAAATAATACAATAAATCGTGTATTTGATAATCCATAACATTTTAAACTCATATAGATTATATTTTGTTTCAGTTTTAACAATCATTTGTGCATAAATCAGAATTAAAAAGTAAAATAAGACAAATGTCTTAAAGAAAAAAGTGACTAATCATGAAATAGATTTCTATTTCATGATTGATCATAATACTTTCTTTTCGAAACATCCTCTTATACAGTACTAAATACAATCGGAAAACTATGATTGTTAATACTCATTAACGATTTATTTAGAACTAATTTCATCAGTTGATTTCATAAAACCTTAAATTACCGAATAATTATGTGAAATGGAATGTTTTTTACAATAAACGTTATTATACTTCTTTTCATTTAAGAAACTTAGTGTTAGGAGAGAATAGATTGAAAGTTTATTAATTATTTTTTAATGAAAACTTTAAAACAATTGATCAAAATTGAGTTTCTTTTTTTTTTTTAAATAATAATTTCGTGTAGGTCAACTGCCATATTTATTTTGCGAAATTGGTTCTTCTATAAAAAGACATTTTAGGATGACGTAGTCTATATAATATTTGACTGACCAAAATGTTTTTAATTGGTATAAATTTGAAATCGATGCTTGCGAAATTTATTCATATATTTTTGGGGATTCTCTGCCATTCCTCTTTTCTTTACCTTTATCGAATTTAAGTAGATACCAGCTTATATATTATTTATAGTATCTCTGTCTTTCAAACTTGTTTTAAAATCAGCACATATGTAAATTTAAATACTTTTTTTTCTTCATATATACATTTTTCCGACTAGTTTTTCAGTTATTTACTTTTTTTAATTGCAATTTTAAATTTCTTTGCAATAAAATGATTTGTTTCAAGTAATTAATAAAATAAGCTGAAACTGTATGTTATTATGAAACTTTCTTTATTCAGCTTAATTTGTTATTTTTTGGTAAGTATGGTTTATGATCTAATTACCAATTCTACCAAGTATTAAAACATAAATTAGTTTAATATACTTTTATTTTTTTAATTATTTTACTTGATTTATACATTTCATTAATAATAATATTGAAGTGCTAATAAAATTTACTGATATATTGTAATATTTACTTGTAAAGTATTAAAAACAGTTATAAATGTCAATGATTGAATTCAATATTATTAATTGTTATCATCATCATCATCATCATCATCATCATCATCATCATCGTCATCATCATCATCATCATCATCATCATCGTCATCATTATCATCATCATCATCATCATCATCAACATCATCATCAACATCATCGTCATCATAATAATAGACAATATTTATTAGTTTTTTATTTTTAATCTTAAAAATAAATTGAAGACATTTGCATTGATTTAAAAAAATATTAATTTTGTTCAGTTTAATTAATGTTTTTGTTGTGATTTTTAGTGACTTATAAAATGTCACATCTAGTAAATGAGAGAACGAGAGCACATAGTACAATTGATAATGCAAATGAAAATTGGCTTGATATGAAAGGAGCTTGGATATCTTATGCCTTGGTTGTCACATTTTTTCACCTTGTTTTACTGAGCATGCCATTTTTTGACACAGCGACAGTTTGGACATTGACAAATGTATTTCACAACTTGGTCAGTTTTAGTTATTTTTTAGTTAGTTATGTCAAAATCGCAAAAAATATTAATCACTTTTTTATAATTATATATTTTTTATTTTATTTTTAAAGCATTTCTAATCTTGTTAATTTTTAAAAAGTCTACTTTTTGACATTCCTACATATGTACTTTAAATGTAATAATGAACATGCTTTTTATATTTATGTTGGTTTATTTGATACAGGAACATAGGGTTAGGAAAAAGTTATAACATAAGTTTGTTCAATGTTTGTGTTAAATTGAATTTTTTTACCACAGCAAAGTAAAAAAACACAATGATTAAATAAATTTAAATTGTCACCTTTGTAAGTTTGTATATTACCTATTACTTTTGTGTATCATTATCTACTATTTATATCAGTCTAGTAGGTATATAATTCAGGTTAAGTTTTTATGCTTTTTAATGCATATACTGGAGTTTTTATTAATAAATTAGGTTCTAACAAAAAAAAAAAAAGAGCTAAAAACTAGTTCTTGATTATTATTGAGTGTGTTAAATCAAAATATGTAACAAAAATAACCAAATAATAATTTTTGATAGTCATTTTTTGATTTAAAAATTAAAAAAAAAAAACAAACAGTTTTCTGTTGCACTTGCACTTTCACTGATTCTTGGATTTACCTTACTGTTAAGAGCTCAAAAATTCTTCTGATTAAAAAAGAGGATATTGTGCAATCCTAAAAATTATTTTTGGTTAATTTACAACAGATTTGTTTTTAAAATTTTGACTGAAATTTCTCTTTATGAACACATGTTTTTTGACTGAAGTTTCTATTTATAGACACATGTTCTCCATTATATCTTGTAGTGATAGCTTTTCATGAATAATATAGTTTATAGTGGAAAAAAAAAATGCTAAAAATTACCAGACCAATTTTAAGCGTGTTAAATCTAAAGATTTAATTTTAAGTGTGTTAAATCTAAAGAGAAAATAACTTCATTCATTTTTATATTTTTTTTGATTAAACTGGATTTAACCCATATCATTTCCTTAAAAGTTAAAAGTTTCCAAGCAATTTTTTTTGTTCTCTTACCATACAAAAAAAAAAAAAAAAAGTTATTTTGTATTTTAAAAAGTAGAATGCAAAATAAATATAATATAGCATTTGTAGATAATGATATTTCTTTATAATTTTTAAAGTTTTTCAATTAAACTAGTTTGTCTTGCTCTATAAACTTCAGCTTTTCTCTTCCAGTAACTTCCAACTTTAATAGTGGTTGCTTGCAGCTTTATTGGAAGCAAAAATATTGAAAAAAATAAGTTATGTAGTAATTTAGTAAATTGAAGTTAATGTTAATGAGTGCTAAAGCAAATATATTTAAATTTTGTAATGCTTTATATCCTGTTAGTTTTATGTATTACCCTTTTTATTTATTACAAAGCCTGGTGTGTGTGTATGTTCGTATGTTTATATATATATATATATATATATATATATATATATAATATATATATATATATATATATATATATATATATATATATATATATATATATATATATATATATATCAGATGATGCAATTTTCTAAAATTGTCTTTTCGCATTTAAAGATTTTATTTGCCTATTTTTTATTTCTTTGTAATTGTCTCTCATCGGTCCAATTAATCTTTTGCTTTTTTTTTTTTTTTTTTTTTTTTTTGCTTTTTGAAATGTTCTCAAAACAACTAAAAAATCTGGCCAGCTTTTCGCAACTAAATACTATTTACGTGGTCAGCAATCAAGAGCGATCGCTCCCGCTTCCCGACCAAGCCTGGTTAACCTGTTTAACTGGAATGCAAGGAAGAGTAAGGCCATAAGACTTAAGAGTCAAATTAGAAGAAAAGTTCTTTGCAAAAAGTTCAGCTTTATCCTTGGGAGAGGCAATAAGATCAGTCCCATAGATTAGAAATTGAAAGTTAGTAGGGATACAGAGTCCCAAATGGACTCTGGCTTTATATCTCTACTTTTCTAAGTCTGTAGTGTCCAGAAGCTCTAAACATGTTTGTCGACTTATGATCTGCTATAAGAAAAAAAATCATGAGATTTAATGACTTGAAACTTTTTATTTTTAAGCCCGGAGTCCTGGAGTCCTTGCTGCCATTATGCCTAATGACTCCAGGTTCAAAAAATGATTGTTTTTCTCACCTAAAAGTCCATAAATTTAATTATAATTATAGAGCTCCTGGATACTAAAAACTAGGAAGAAGTACTCTTTTTGTGACTTTCAAATCCGGAGTCCTTTTTGGGACTCCACATCCCTGAATGTTAGACTTACCTTTGTTAATGACACTGTTGAAGGTTTCCCAAGTCTCTGGAAATAACTGATCTTAGATCAGATAGCATATTTTTACATTGATTTCTTGCAATAATAAATAGGTGTTTGTTCTCAAGAGAGTTGTTCTTTAAAAAAAAGATAATGCTAGAGCAACAAGTAGATTTTTTTTTACTGTTTCTAACTAAATTTATATTCATAAACAAATTTTAATTTTCATTAATTGATTACAATTAAATATAGCAGTAGCAAAAAAAAGTGAAAACCATGGAGGCTTGACATGGAACCAATGAGAAGGAATAACATTTATCAGCAGAGAAAGAAGAGACATCAGCAAAAAATTATTAAAAGAATCCCAGTCAGCTTTATGCTAGTAAGTAGTAAGTAGTGCAATGATAGGGTGAATTTAAAAGAAGTATAAAATAAAAAACTTATAGAGATCATTGCATGGTTACCTAAAAATGAATAAGGAGAAACTGAACACAAGCTAGGGTCAGAGACAAGATACAGGTAAGTGATTAGGGTTGTCTCAAAAATAAGTCACAGAGTTGATTATTTATATCATACTGCTTCAGGCTTGGTCTACAAAGGGGTGCAATAACACTTTAATCCTGACCATGCATATTATATTTAGTTGTGACAACCTGACCATGGAATTTTAGAACATTCAACTTTATGTAAGTTTCCATGTATGTCAGAAAAAATAAGTTTTAACACGCTTAAAGAGTTAACTTTGTAACATTAAACTTTGGTAATTAAATGTTTTTATATTAGCAAAACGCTTTTAAACAAAGTGAAGATTGATTGTTAAATATATTTTTTACATTTTTATATGTTGTCAATTATATATTTTTTTACATTTTTAAATGTTGAAAAAGTTTTTTAAAAAAATTTATAAAAAATAAATTATATAAATATAAATTTATATAATTAATTTTTATTTAAAAAGTATGTATTTTTTATGTTAAATGTAAATCTTTTAAAACAATTTGTACAATTAAATAAGATATCAAAGTTTTACTTGTTTTTAGGAGAGAAACTGTAAGCAATGTCTACCTGAATTATATGTTATCTTCCTTTTTATTAGGTTCACAAAAAAATTAATATAAATCCGATTAGATTAGTTTATAATTTACTTGCCTTTTAATCATCCTTAGCGACAATAACCACCATACATATTCTTGGCATTCTAATTAACGACTTGTAACAATTTGTTGAAATCAATTTTATGCCACTAACTAATAAGTTTTGTCCACATTTTATGCATCATTTGGTATTAGTTTTAGACATTACTTTTAATTTCTTCTATAAAAATCTGATAGGAGAGAGATCTTATGAGGGGAGGGTAAATCATTTTATTTAATATTTGATTATTCTTGAACTCATTCAAATAACTTGAACAAGTTTTTGAAAAATATGTTTTAGGTTTAAGCTTCAAGTCATTTTCTTTTGAAAAAATGAATAGCTTTTCATTAACTTATCTTTCTGAAGGTGTAGCATAATTTTTTAATTGTACAAGTAAACTACTTTTGTCATTACTCCCTCTATTTTCACAAAGTCACCTGTGGCATTCTAACCAAAACAGCCCCACATCATAGCACTACATCCACCATGTTTTACAGTCAATAATGCACACTATTATTTCATCAATTCAATGATTTTTTTTTCCAGACAATCAATCTTATCTTAAAAACAAAGATTTAAAATTTTGACATGTCGGTCCATGTTTACAGTCATTGATGGTCTATTTTTCATGTAGTTTTGCCTACTTTAGCATTTTTATTATTCCTATGATTTTTATCAAAGCATTTTAACCAAAATACTTTTAAATTATCTAATAGTGCAAAATTAAACATGAAAAAAAGTTAAATAAAAAATAGCATTAAAAAAAAAAGTTAATGCCATTCAAATAATTATGAACGGTAGTGTATGTATATGTGTATATATATGTATATATATATATATACACACACATGTGTGTGAGTGTATGTGTGTATATATATATATATATATATATATATATATATATATATATATATATATATATATATATATATATATATATATATATATATATATATATATATATATATATATATATATATATATATATATATATATATATATATATAGGCTTAGACTGAAATGGCATGCGATTGCACCTTGTAACTGACCACGATTATATATTTTTTTTCTTTTCAGTTTGACCAATGCAGTTTTGTTGTTTTAACAATTTAAATACTATTTAAAAAATTGTTATGTTAGAAATAAATTTTAATCATTAATCTTTTACTAAGTTTTTATTTTACGCGAAGGCTTTAAATAAAATAAAAAATTATTTATAGTGAATGTTTAAAATAAATGCATTTTTTGTAAATTAAAAAATAATGTTATATTTAAGGCATGTTTGCCCCTGGCTGTAATAATTTTTTAACTTGCTGCATTCTATTACAGTAAGAAAGTATAAAATATTTTTTATAAACAGTAAAGATTTATATAGCTTTTTGTTTATTAAATTTGATATTATTAAATCCTGCCACGGCCTGCATATATATATATATATATATATATATATATATATATATATATATATATATATATATATATATATATATATATATAAATATATATATCCTTATAGTGTAGTCGAAAAAGTCGTTTAATGTAAAAAAAGTCTCTTACGACTACAATTTTAATTACCTCGTCTCTTAAGCTGTATTTGATTGTCGTCGAAATGTCAAAGCAATTAAATTAATGCGGAAGTACATTAAATTTTATTGTTTTTTAAAAAATTTTTAAAAAACCGGAATAATAACGACTAGAAAGTTTTTTTTAATTTGTAGTGTTTTTGTTTTTGTTTTATTAAAAAACATTTTTAAAACATGCGTAAATGTTGCTACATCGACTATCTTACAGCCTGACTCGCAACGGAGTGCTGTTACATCGACTGACAAATAGCCTGACTCGCAACGGAGTGCTGCTACATCGACTGACAAATAGCCTGACTCGCAAGGGAGTGCTGCTACATCAACTGAGGGTTTGGTTTGGGCAGGCAGTCTATCAGTTAAAAAAAAAAAAAATTTTAAGTTTTTAAACTTTTTCTGGTCTGGTTTATTAACGCACTTTTTAAAACTACAGTTTATGGGAAACTCTTTTTAACTACCATGCAAGAGTATATATATATATATATATATATATATATATATATATATATATATATATATATATATATATATATATATATATATATATATATATATATATATATATATATATATATATATATATATATATACAACCAGTAAAAACTTATCAGAAAGATTTCTGATGAGTACAGGTATTATCTTTTTCATGATATTTCTATAAAATTTCATTTTTTATGGGTATCCAAATAGTTTTCTGGAAATAAATTTTAAAAAATACATTTTTTTATCATCAAATAATTAAAACAGTTAAGGTATTGTTCATCAATTACTCTACACTAAATTTAGTTAGGTTAGGCATAATATATACATATGTAAAACTAATATTTTTCTTTGTATTTATTATTAATTATTTTTTATTTATTAATTATAATAACCATTTCACCTAAAAATCTAGTTTAATATACTTTAATAATTGTTTTATATAAATTATATTAATTTATGAACTCTAATTAAATAAGAATTAAAATACTTTTCTTTTATATAAGAAAATGGCTGCCAAAACCTAAACCCTTAATCAATTTATGTACAATGTACATAAACTGATTAAGGGTTTAGGTTTTGGAATGTACTACATTCCACTGCGCCTATCCTTTTTTAAGTCAGTCGGTCTATGTACACTCCTTAAAAAACATAAAAGTACTTCAAAATAAAAATTAAAATAAAAAAAAACAAACTTCTACGGAGGATTGGAAATCGCAAACTTGCTAGCCGAGCCTTATAAATTTATAATTGTATTATTCACAGCAATACGCTGCTATTTACTAATTAGAAAAATTAAAATATTTAAAATTTTATTCTGTTTTTATTTGACAATTATTTTTATTTTTATTTGACGAATACAAGATAAATAATTAATTGAACTAACAAAGTTATTAAAAATGTTATAAAAAACATTATTTAAAATAAATTTTTAACTTATTTTTAAATTCATTCAACAAGTTGATTTTCCTAATTTCTAATGATAGATTATATAAACTCTAGCACAAGAGCAATAGAAGAAACTTTTTGCAAATTTAAGGTGGATTTTTAGAATTTTAATTAGGTTGCATTTATTTCTTTTTGCTTTTGAATGGTTGACAACTTCAAAGTAGTTTGTAATATGAGCATATAGTAGTTTGAACCAGATAAACCAAGAATGCATTGCTTTGTTAATAGACAAGATGCAATGAAAATTTCCAAGAATGGCGATATTGTATTAACTTTGTGCTTGCTGTTTGCATTCATGATACAAGATGTACATGTGTGCAAAGAGTCTAGTTTATCTGTTTTTGATTTTGGTAGGTTGATCTGGTTGAGTCTTAGTCTGCCACCAGCTTTTTTTATATACCATTTTGAGATTATTTCCATATTAGATGAAAGGCGTGATTCTATAATAAATATATATTTTTCAGGAACGTATATGACTGGGTCGTCAGCATAAATAATAGAATGTTTCAAACAAGGTACCAGATCATAAAAGTAAATAACAAAAAGTAAAGGGCCTAATATTAATCCTTGAGGTTCACCACATACAACTTTTTCTGTTTTAGATTTTGTGTTTTAAAAACAAATTGTTTGAGATTTGTTAAATATATAATCTTTAAACCAGCAGAGTTCAGTATCACAAACTCCATAACTGTTAAGCTTGTTGATTAGTGTTCCGTGACTCAAAGTGTCAAATGCTATACTCAAGTCTAGAAGTACTGTCGCAACTATTTTATTTTTGTCAACCTTTCGTTTTATGATATCTACAACAGCATTGCAGCTAGCGTTTGCACATACAAATAATGAATTTTTTTTTAAACACGCGAGATATTCTTAGTTAAACAAAATGCATTTTTATTGATGAGTCTTAATTGATAAGACACAATGCAAAATGAAAAAAAAATTTAATAAGTGATTTTCTAATAATTTTTTTATTGCTCTGTTCTTTTAAGAACATTGAGCACTCTATTTTGTATAATAGATATGTTTGTGTGCGTACATGTGTGTGCATGTTTATAAAGCATTATTGCATTATTTTAAAGAAAAGCAACTGCATTAAAGTGGGATATTATCATGTTTTGGGATATTATTACAGATATTAGTTTTTATTTGTCTATATTTAAGCTCCTTAATGAGATTTATTATTCAAGCTGAGGGCTACATAATGACTTTCATATCTGTAGTTAAACAGTTTTTTGCAAATGTTTAACAATTTGTTTTAATAGAGTGTTCTATTTTTAAATATGTTCTGTAATGTTGTCTAGAGTGTTTTTTATAAGTGTATGTTATAAAACATTGAGGAATTTTTTTGTTTTTTACTTAAGATGTTTTAAACTAAATAATTAATACTTTGTTTATACTGAAACTGAAACCTGTTTTTTTTTTAAATGTGTTTTATATTTTTTATGTAGCTGTATACAGGAATAGTGCCGTATTTTATATTTTTATTCAGGCAAATTATTTAATGCTTCATCACCTAAAAGGTGCTCCATTTGAAACCTATGATCAAGGTCAATCGAGGAGGCTAACACACTGGGAACAAATTGATAAAGGTGAAATGTTCACTGCAACTCGGAAGTTTCTAACACTTGCCCCCATCATTGTGTATGTTTATATTATATTTTAGTAATTTAATTTTGTATTATCTTCTATTCTAATGAAATAGATAATAACTTAACTTTGTGGCTCACACTTAGGAATGTAAATTAGAGGAATCTTTAAAATTAAATTACACTATGAACTACATAATTTTTAATTTGTCACACATAATTACATGGTTGGTATTTGGTATTTTACAGAATTAATAAAGTTTAATTTGTTCAATTTTTAAAAATTAGTTTATTATATTTGTTTATTACTATTTTATTATATTAAATTAACTTTTAAAGTCTTAATTTTGTTTTATATCTAAATTTATCAGAAATGAATTTTTTAAAAAAGAAAAGAGTTTATCTTTTTCCAGATATTTATTCTGGATTTTTATTAGTCTATTAGTTTTAGTGATTTGAAAAATTGCTAAGTTGAAAAATAGTTTTTTTAAAAATAAAATAAATTAAACAGTTAAACTTTGCAAGATTGGAAGAAAAGGACAAGTCTTAAAAGTTTTATTTAAAAAAAATTTAAATGAAATTCTTTTGCATATCTGAACACAACATGCAAACATACTTTATTTTCAAGTTGTTTCCGCATATTCTAAATAGGATTTAGGTCAGAAGTTTGATCAGGCCATTACATTTTAGTGATTCTATTTGTATCAAACCATACTTAAATGAGTTTTGATGTTTTTAGTTTAAAATTTGTGATTAAATTGTAGTGCTGATTGACTATATGCTGTTTAACTGTTAACTGTTTGACTATTTGCTGGCTGATAAAAGTTTCTTTTGAAATGTTACTGCTTTGAATTATACATTTAAAACAGAGTCATACAAGTGAGATAAAAGCAAGATATATTCCACATTTATTAGCCAATAGTATACCAAATAAAAGTTTTCAAGTTAAAATTAATTTATAATAATTTGAAAGTTTTATTTCCTAGAAAAGCATTTGGAATAAAATGATATAATTCTCCAAATAAATATATAAAGTTACATAATCCTCTCGTTTTCTTAAATTTGGTTGGGTTATATTTTATAAAATTAAATACTGCAAAAGATTTTGACCGATAATAGTGCAAATCAATAACATCAGGCTTTTTTATGTGACGTTTATTCAGAAGAAAATAAAGTCGTAAGTAAAAGCATTTAACCGCAATTGTAAACTAATAGATTTTTTGTTGAAGAAAAATTTCTTTAATTATTTTTATTGTTGTTGTTGTTAAAAATTAGTTTAAAAAAAATAAGTGTTTTAAGTTTAAACTTTTTATATTTATATATAATATTTTATATTTATATATATTTATATATAATATTTTATGCTTATATATATTTATATATAATATTTTATATTTATATATATTTATATATAATATTTTATATTTATATATCATATTTAATATTAAGTTTTATATTTCATAAGTTTAAAAACATTCAAATTATAAAAAAAAAAAATACTTTCAATTTATTTTATTAAATTTAAATATTTTTTTATTAATCATAGTTTTTAGTAAATAAATTTATTAAATTTAATTAAAATTCTTTTATTTAATTTTAAAACAGAGCATTTTAAAATTTTTCAATTTTAAAGCATTTTAAAATTTTTTAATTTTAAAATGCTCTGTTTTACAATTTTTTTTTATGATAAAATTTCCAAAGTAAAAAAAGATTTAATAAATTTAATTCAAGTTTCCTTAAAATCGTTCGTATTACATATAATTTTATTTTAATTTCAGTTAAGTTTGAATAATACGCTGAACAAAAGCGCATTATTTTCCAGTTTTTCTTTTTCCATTATTTTACAGTTTCATTCATTAATTACAGAAGCGCATTATTCATTTTATAACTACAAGTTAATAAATAACGTCAATACAAAAAAGTTCTTTTAAACTCTAGTTATAAATGTTATGTTTGGGTTTTCCCTTAGCCGTTTGCCAAAGAATTTTTTTTATAAAACAAACCAAAATTCAAACCTATTAAAAATAACGCGATCAATAAATAAACTCTTTAAAAGCCCAACTTATATTTATTTTATTTTAAAAACAAAACTAGTACTAGAGCTATAAATATAAGATACATAAATTTCAAAATTATAATGATATTTGTTAAAAACAAATTCTACTTATAACATCTTAAAACACTATTTATTATTTTTTTTTTAGTTGCCATGCGTACTTTTTAGTCCTCTCCCCCCTTTGAAAAGTACGTACGCTTTTGAAGTACCCCCCCCCCCCCATCTTCTCTTTTCTCTTTATGAGTTAAAAAGTTAAAATTTATAAAAACATTATTTAAGAAATTTAAATATTAGGGATCGTCAATAAAGTACGCCAGGCATGAGTAAAAATAAGAAGTCATCAAAAAGTGGTGATATTCTTTATATTTCAAAACGTTCCATTTCATTAAATCAATTGCTCAATACTTTTCAAAAACAATATGAAGTATAAAAAGAATTTCAAAATTTCTTCATATTTCAATTTTTAATTAATTAGCACAACAACAGTCTTACCAAGGGTAACAAGTTTAAAAGCTAAAGTTTTAAAGTATTGTTAAACTTTAAATATTAGTTTTTGAAATTGTTATGTAAATAGTATTTTTTATAATTTTTAAAACTTTATTTTGTAAAAAATATTTTATAATAAAAATAAGATATTTATTACTATAAATTATTTAAAAACTAAACAAACAACCCCCGTTTGCATTTATTGTAGCTTGTAAATTTAAGTTGTGCTTTAAATAGTCAGTTAAAAATTAGTTTGAAGGCGGAATTATTAAAATGAATAATAGTGAAAAGTACAAAATTATTTTTACCAACAAGTACCAAAAGCTTTGCCACAAAAGTAAACAGGAGCAACAGAAAGAAGCTAATAAATTGTGGTATAAAGTTAAGCATAAAAAATTGATGTATGATTCAGTTTTAAAAGAACTCACACGAAAAACAATGGAAAGTAAAAGTCAGTTGATGTCTTTTTGGTCTAATGTTAAAACATCAAATAATCAATCTATTGCAGTGAAGCTTCCTCTCACAAACAAAATATCAGATGAGGGACCAGAAGCTTTGTTAACATCCGATGAAGCAGACAAAATAGATTTTGAAATCAATAAAACACTAGCTACTTCTTCTAAATTTGATATTCAAAAAAGTCAAAAATCACAAACGGAAGTACCAATTGATCAGCCGACAAAATCTCATACTCCACAACAAGAGAAAATTCAAACTGAAATTTCGCAGTTAAAAGAGCAGCTGTTAACATTGGTAAATGTGCGCCGTGCAGGATTGATAACTGACGAACTTAAAATAAAATCGATTTTTTTAGAAAAGCAAATAAAAATAAAACAAAATCGTCTTAAAAAAATGAAACGCGAGGCAATTCGTCAAAGACAATGCAGAGCAAGTTTGAAACGAACACTTAATGATATTGTCGATGACACGCCCTACTTAAAATCAAAACTTTCTAAATTCAATAGAGAAAAAAATTGTAATCCAGCTGTAATTGAAGATCAGCCAGATCTTCTTAATGCCATCGTTAACATCGCATCAATAGGAGCCGCTGCTAGCGATCGACCAAGATCGCAGGAGTTACGTTCATGTAAGACACTTGATGACTTAAATAAAAGCCTACTATATCTGGGTTATTGTTTATCACGATCTGCAACTTATTTAAGACTAATGCCTAAGCAATCAAACACACGAGGGAATACGTCACATTAAGACAGTTCCTGTGAAATTGATCAGGACTGCTAATACAGCTCGTGATAGGCATATCGATGCTGGATTTACATTTGGGTGTATGCAATACATGGATGAAGTTTGTTCAATATTTGGTCCAGATTCATGCTTTTATTTAAGTCTAGACGACAAAGCTAAAGTACCATTAGAATTAGCAGCTACAACAAAACAATCACCAATTTTAATGCATCTTGATTATCAAGTACGTTTGTCAGATCATGATTTTTTAGTCGCTTCCAGACATAAGCTTATACCGTCTGTTTATGCAGCTTGTATTATTGATCCAAACAAATTTGCTGACGCAGTGTCATATTCTGGCCCAACGTATATTGCTATTAGATCTATGAAGCATGATAGCAGCACTGCTTTTACTCATGGCCGTGATTTGGAGCGTCTTGTTTCAATTGAAAATTTTAAGCTTCATATTTGTACTCCAGAAGGTCAGGTAAAACTATATTTGTTGTTGCATGTGATGGAGGCCCTAATGAAAATCCAAGGTTTCCCAAACCATTGCAAGATTTATAAAATGAGATTTGGATGTCTATCTAACAGGAACTCATGCACCTCATTATTCAGCATATAACAGGGTTGAACGGCGTATGGCTCCGCTGAGTCGAGAGTTAGCAGGATTGGTTTTGCCACATGACCATTTTGGGACACATCTAAATGCATCTGGAAAAACAATTGACGTTGATTTAGAAAAAAAATTTTTTTGCTAAAGCTGCAGAAACTCTAGCTGAGGTATGGTCGGATATTAGAATTGATAACTATTCTGTTTGTGCTGAATATGTTGAACCTTTCCAACTGTCACCAATACCAGAGCAAGATTCAAAATGGATTGAAAATCACGTAAGACAAAGTCAATATTTTTTAATGATCGTTAAGTGTGATGTTCCCAATTGCTGTAAACCTTAGCGAAGTTATTTTCCTCAACGTTTTTTACCAGGTCCAGTTGTAATGTCTCATGCTGCTGAAGGAATTTTTATTCCTGAGCCAAAGGTAGCACAAAATATTCCTAAACCTTACTTTTCTTCTCTAGCGCAGAGCTTGGGATATATAGGTTCAAAAATTTCGATGGAAGCTTTCTTTGATTTGTACTGCCCATCAATTTCACAACAAAAAATTGATCAAAGAACTTGCAAATCCTGCAAAATTTATCACGCTTCTAAAGCAAGTGTTAAACGTCACAAATGCGTGTTTAGAAACATAATCAACACTACATCTGAGGAAAATAAAAATGATGATGAAAACAATGAACTCATTTAACAGTAAATGAAAGTAATTCT